CCCCCCCCCCCCCCCCCCCATATACACACCATCTACTCCACAGTCCTGGGATTTCCTAATGAGCAAGGTCTGGGGCGGAGTGAAAAGACAACCCCCTCATTAGCCACAAAAGCACCCTAGGGATTTTGGGCCTGTTGGTTCCACCTAACCCAGGGGTAGGCCACCTTGGCTCTTTTATGACTCGTGGACTTCAACTCCCAGAATTCCTGAGACAGCATGGGGGAACTATGGCTCCCTCATGACTCGTGGACTTCAACTCCCAGAATTCCTGAGCCAGCACGGCTCAGCTTGGAACCCTCTCCCTTTCCCCTCAGCGTGGCTGGCTCAGGAATTCTGGGAGTTGAAGTCCACGCGTCATAAAAGAGCCAAGCTTGCCTACTCCTGGAATACACGAAGTGGAAGGGGGGGGGAGAGGAAAGAGAGATTTGAGTGAGAAGCGTCTCTGTCCCACGCGAAGGTCCTGAACGGCAGAACCTTCGCGCGGGACAGAGCAGCGCGTCCCGCGTGGCGACCCAAACTCCGCTCGGGGACCAAACGGCGACCCCGCCAGCACTAACCCCCCCCCCCAATCCCAGCCCGGCGGAACCGCCCCGGGCGAGGAGAGCGGCGGCTGTGCCCGACTGCCTTCCAGCGCCCTAGACCTGCGGCCCCGTCCCCCGACCCGGAGGATGCCCGGGGAAGCGGGACTCGTACCGGCAGCACTGCCGGGCCGCTCCCCCGCTCTCGCTCCGTCGCCCCAGCTGCCTTGGTCGCCATGTCGCCGCCGCCGCCGCTGGGTTGCCGGGCAGCCGGGCCACGCAGCCCCCGCGGGAGAGCCGCCCTCGCGCCGCCTCCTTGCAGGCCGGCCAGGCGGACGAGGCCCCAGCGAGCGATGGGGATCCTGCTCGGCCTGAAAGGGCTCGGCTCTCCCGAGGGATGCTCGGGGCTCCCTAGTGCAGGGGTCTCCAAACTTGGCAATCTTAAGACTTGTGGACTTCAACTCCCAGAATTCCCTAGCTAGCTTGGCTGGCTGGGGAATTCTGGATGATAAAGTTCACAAAGTCCTTAAAGTTGCCAAGTTTGGAGACCCCTGTCTTAAACTGGCAGCATAGGAGGTGGCTATAGAGCAGGGGTCTCCAACCTTGGTAACTTTAAGACTTGTGGACTTCAACTCCCAGA